TGTGTGTAATTTATTTTACACTAACTCAATTTGTATAGAGTACTGTTTATAGCAGTATATATATATAAGCAGATGTTCTCAAAATGGCCAATTATTTTCTAATTAATTTAAATATTTAGAAACAGAAGTCCATTGATATTTACAAATATACTTAACAGAAAACTGCTTATATGCAAAGTAAGCTTGGACATCAGCTTAATTTCTATTTCTGGTTTCCCCCCTACTTTTGAAATAGCTGAGAGCTGATGTTGTACCCAAAACTGCCGGTAAGTATCTTTTTTTCCCACATTAAATGGGTTTCTTATAAATAAATGTGGACTGTTTTCTCATGCATTAATGTCTCCATATCTACACAGAGAACTTCCGTGCTTTGTGCACTGGTGAGAATGGTTTTGGCTACAAGGGCTCTGGCTTTCATCGTATCATCCCCAAATTCATGTGCCAGGTAAGATCTGAACCCCGTCGTGTTTTCAGACGCAATGATTTCCGCTCGCACTGATGTCGGTCGATGTCACTCCTGATGTAGGGTGGCGACTTCACCAAACATAACGGAACTGGTGGGAAGTCCATCTACGGCAACAAGTTTGCGGATGAGAACTTCACCCTGAAGCATGGAGGGAAGGGAACCCTGTCCATGGCCAATGCCGGACCGAATACCAACGGCTCCCAGTTCTTCATCTGCACTGCTGATACTACTTGGTAAACGGCTTCTTTGAGATTACTATTTTAATGTTAGATAAGAACCTTTAAAGGGGTCATATGATGCTATTTTAAAGATTATTATTTGGTGTATTTGGTGTAACAGAATATGTTGACATGCTTTAATGTTCAAAAAACACATTATTTTTCAAATACTGTACATTATTGTAGGTCCTCTATGCCCCGCCTCTCTCAAACACTTCGTTTTCTACAAAGTCCCTCCTTCCGACAAGCGCAGACCAAGAGCTTGTAACACTCCAAAGAGAAAGGAAAACTTGAAATCGCATCATATGACCCCTTTAACATCCTTGGAACCTTTCTATTGCACTAAAGGTTCTTTAGAGCAGTGGTTTTCAAACCTCTCCATGAAGTACCCCCAGCACTGCAAGTTTTGTTATGTCTCCCTATATCTGACACACCCTCTTCAGGTCTTGCAGTCTCCACTAATGAGCTGATGAGTTGAATCAGGTGTGAAAGATGAGGGAGACATACAAAATGTGCAGGGCTGGGGGTACTCCAGGACAGGTTTGAGAACCACTGCTTTAGAGTATAAACTGTTTAGAGCATTTCAATTTGATGTTAGTGCTAAAGTTCTTTGTTTCTCCAGGCTCGATGGCAAACACGTTGTGTTCGGGAAAGTGGTAGAAGGAATGAGCGTAGTGGATGCCATGGAGGCTAAAGGAAACAGCAACGGGAAATGCTCTGCCAAGGTCGTGATTGCTGATTGTGGCCAACTTTAATTGTTTCTTATCCCCTCCCATTTGAACCAGGCACATTCCTTACTATATAGATTTTTTTTTCTTTTCTTTTTCTTTTTATTGCCATTCCTGAATGAGATGCTTATTCCATGTGTCATGGTCCTGTTTTATGTATTCTGACGGTCCCCAGGACACAATCTGTTAAACATGGATTAAAGATGGATCAAGATTCCTTTCAACAGGTTTTTGTTTTCTTTCTTTTCTTGGAACGGACAGCTCAGCTCAACTGTTGTTAAAGAAATCTGAGATATTTCATTTAGCATGTGCTGATATGCTCTTGTAATAGAAGTCTTCAAAAGGAGCCCATTAAAGTCTTTTGGTTCTAAAATGGCAGCGTTCTGCTGCAGTTCGTTCTAGTGGCCAGCAGGTGGCGGTACTTTATTAGTGCAGTGGTTCTCAACAGGGTTAACTACAAATAAAACCATAAAACATTTGAAATGGCATAAATTAACTGGCTTTCTAACTAGCTTTTTATTTCAGCTAGCTGCTGAGGCAAAATTTTTCATTTAGTTTAAACTGATGTACTAAAATAAACTAGTAAACAAAAAAAAATACACTACATAGAAAAACTATTTAATAAATATAATAAAACTATATATAAACATTTGGAAAACAAAATTACTAAAATTAAAGTCAAAATAGTAATGAAATGATACTAAAATAATGGTCTTGCTTTAAGTAAAAATTGATGTCTGTAAAATCCAACAATTATATGTATGTTAATATGTATTCTATTATTACCATAACCTGCATAGGCCCAGAAATATGCATGTTAAGTCCTATTTGATTTCAATTTAGCATTTGTTTTCTGTCCCACTAAATTTAAATGAATTCAATTCATTAAGTGAATACTTGCAAAATATCTTGCATGCTAACACAGGACACAAAAAAAAAAAGAAACCCACAATACTGTATGTAAACATTATGCAAACATTTTAAACCAGACACGCAAAAAACATTACAAATGATGCTTTGCAACAGCAGAGCTTTTAAATAAACGTCTTTTGTCTGAATTGTACAAGATTATTAGGTTAAAATGTCGCCCGTATCAGAGAACTTCATTCGAAGTTAACCTTAATGAGGTTCGAGTTTGGCAGAAAAGCAGGTTTAGAGCAGCTCATCCAGCAGGTTTCCCGGGCTGTGCGTTTGCCCCAGAGCAGCACTGATGGGGTTGTTGCACATGGGACATGAAGATCTCACTTCCAGCCACTTCACCAGACACCTGGTAAGACAAATCAATAGAAACGCTTCTCAGCAGTTATGCTGAAATTACTCTGACCCGTTCACACCAAGGACGATAACTATAACAAACTTAATCATTCTAAATCATAGACTGTATAAAAACAGTTCTAAATCTACTAGAACATGGAAGTCCACACCACAACTATAACGATAGGGTGACCATACGCCCGACTCTCCTATTTCTTCTCGGTGCGAACGGGCTTTTAGAGTTATGAGGCACAGCCAGGGTGTGTTCGCTTCAATTAACCTCTTATTTACCTATAAACCTCTCTGGACCTTTATTTAATAGCATTAGCATGATAAAAGACATTGGAGGGATGTACCTCTTGTGAACGGCGTGTTGGCATGGTAACACTCCAAGCTCATCTTTTGTCCTGAAGTCCTCCAAACAGACTGCACATGTTAACTGAGAAAACAGGATGTTACAAGAGGGGAAATCAGAGGTTTAGAAGGTCTCAAAAATTCCCAAGTAGTCAAATAACTTTTATCTTTTTAATAACCTATAACTTAAGCCAAAACTTTTACCCCATGTGCATGTAACCATGTTGTTTCATCTTCAAATACAACCTGTAATGCAAAACACAGTTGTTTATCTTATAGGGAGCAAAAAGTATTTAGACACAGTTGATTAATTTTGCAACATCAACAATTGAACCAAATTAAATGAACAATTAACTAACTCAAGCTGAATAATGACATTGTTGCCTTTTGTAGAGCTGCTTATAGCTGAAATAAACTCATTTGAACTGAATTGAACCAATACTGAACTGACTAGAGCTGAATAATGACATTATTATCTTAAGTAGAGCTGCTTTATAGCTGAAACTAAATCTCATATTTGAATTTTGCATAAATGATTCTGTTATTTTCCTGTTGATACTGTGAAGCTGCTTCAAAACAATCTCTATTTTATAAAACGCTATATAAATACAGGTGACTTTACTTGATTGACACAAAACTGTCTGAATGTCACTGCATTAAATACAAAAATCACAGAAAGTGTCATTCATTTAGAAATGGCACAAGCACATTTCCTCTGTTGGCAAAGATAAGTTTGAAAATGTAATGTGTTCGAGGTTAGTGAATGTGTTGATAGTTTATGTGATTTTCTACACCTGTGGTTCCTCTAATAGGACACCTGTGTGAACCTGAGGAGAACTGACTTCAAACATCCACTAAAAATCACCAGCAGATTCGAAGCGAGACTTCAAACATGAAGAAAAGTGACATTAGTGAAGAGAAAAATCCTGCAGCATCTGAGACGTTTTTAATGTGATGTAAGTGTCAAATACCTTCTGATGATATCATTTATAATGTGCACTCACCATCTTGTATCCAGCTCTCACATTGCGAGCTTGATGTCTCAATTTACTGCAAAGAAAAACAGGCCAAACCATTCATTAACAAGGGTTGACTTTGTTAAAAATAAATATTTCTAACTTAAAATTTTTTTTTTTAAAAGTATAACTATTATAGAAATGTATTTTATTTGAAAATGTTCAATTTACTACTTTTTTTCTCTAGACATCAGTATGGCAGTACAGGCAAAGGTGTGTCGTATGTTTCTAAACACAAATTTGGCAAGTGAGGGTTTGTAGTTCTCAGTGTTTGACATGACATTAGCCGAAAGCCTTTGGTCAAAAATAGCATTGTGAACAAAAAGCACGGAGATACAATCTAGTCCTGAATTGTTCGAGTTCGGAAGCGCGTGAGGCCAGAGGAAGCCCCTTCTGCTCTGCAGCTGTCAGTCTGTCACAGGCATTATTCACAGGAAAATACTGATGAAGTCCAGGCACAAAGAAGAGTTTTAGAAACGTTATCCAGGATCTGCATGGTCCAAACGGGCTGTTCTGTTAAACTATTATGGATTTAGTCTCAATATTACAGTCACACTTACCTTATAAAGAAGCAGCAGAATATCAGGCTTAAAACAAAGACAAAGATCCCAGTGCCAAAGATGACCACATCGATGTTGAGAGGTTCCTGAGAGGTCACTGGAGGCATGGTGTTTTAAATATCAATCATTTCCTGAAGATGAAAAAGAAGCCCTGTAAGAAGTCAAAAACAATTGATATGCCATTTATGGAAAATTAGGTGATTATTTGTAAGACAAAACAATATGATACCCATTAACAATGCAGTTTCATAACAATACGAGCCTTAGGGCAATATTTATCAAATTGTAAGGTTAGAAAACCAAAGAAAAAAAGCATTGAAAGTCTTTAAAGCAGACAGCATTTATTTCAAACATGTCAACACTTTTTACAGATGAAAAAAAAAAACATTTTTTTTTTTATTTTACAATTACATTAAATATTAATTTAAAAATAAATCTCACCATTATAAACGGGCTCCTGAGTGTCTTCACTTCACTGTTTATTCTTCATACTCGGATTTGTTGATTCTCCCGGATCAAGCGTCAAATGAATCCCTGACTGTTTAGTCGCATCTACAGTTTTGAGAGCCCGTAAATGTGAATCAAATGAACTCCCGACCGGATCACGGAGATCAAACAATGTAACGGACCGCAGAAAGACATAAATATCCACATGCACGAGAAAACAGTAAACCCCGCCTTTAATTCAGGAGGCGGAGCCTAAATAAATTTTACTATTATAAAAAGAAACAGTAATAATATAACATGATATGGTATAATTAGTATAAATATATTTAGTGTAATAGTATATTAACAGACTAGTATAGAACTATTAGTGTAAGTATAAATATGTATAAATAGTAGCTCTATTATACAACAGAAAACGTTTTTGACCTCTAATATATATATATTTTTTTTTATTTATTTTTTTTTTTGCATGAATAGCTCTTAAAATATGATATTGTTTAAAAAAACATAAACATTTCTTAACCCATTAAAGTTTTCTTTCAAACTGTTTTATTTGAAAATAAATAAATCACAGTCAAAGCCTCCTAATTTTGTTTTCCATTTAATTAAGCAAAATTATTTAAGAATCACAATAGACAAACTATGCTGTTTTTTAAACCTTTTTTTTAATCTTTTTATTGGTATTTAACAAAACAGTAGATAATGATACATTCAGTAAAAATAAGAGAGAGACAAACTAGTTATCTGAATTTCTTTGCAATATTAACCCCAGAGAAAATGAAGGAGATTTTAAAAGGCATGTTTAGACAGAAATATGACCTGTTTAAAGGCAAATTTGGGCCAGTGGCTTTAGAGTCTTTGTATGCTGGGAGCTGATCATGTTGACTCAGTGAGTTATTTCTTCACACCCTCCTAACAAGTCTGACATTAGACACCACCAGACACCACAGTAAATTCACAAAAGATTCATTTAATATTTAATATATGCCATGAGAGCGTTCCTGCTCATTGCATGACCGTACGACAGAATTATAAAGGGTTATTCTTAATTCTTTGAATAAAGAAAATTCAGTCAATTGCCAATTTTCAATTTTGCTCACTTTCTCGTTATGCTGGACATTCAGCTGTGTTGGATTAAGAAAAAAAACCTTAGTGCAACCCAGACCATAATATGTTGAACATAGTATGCCAAATGTGACAGTAGAAATGTTTATTTATTTATTTACATTTTATTTTATTGCTTTTTAACTACATAATTACTGAAATTAATGAATTAGGTGATTGTAAATATGTCTGTAGTGTAGACCATTAGTAGTTTCTCTTTTAACATTTTCAAATAACAAATGATTTATTCCTAGTCCTCCATGCTCCCTCACCAACTGCCTTATTCACAAGCAAACAGCCCTAAACATGATCCTTTATTTTACCAGGAATTATCCCATTGAGATATAAATCTCTTCTACCAGGGAGTCCTGGCCAAAATTCAGTGGTTCTCTGTCAACTTTCAGCTCTGCTCTCTGACAAACAAGACTTTAACAAAGGTTAAATGACACCACAGTGCAACATTCAGACAAGACTTCAAAATTCTCTACTACAATGTAAACTTAGAGTCAGCCTTCACAGGGACAGTGAGGACAGATTTCATATTTCATAAGTCAGTCAATTTAAATGTGAATACTATCATCATGTAATTCAAAACATTTAAATTCAACATGCACTACATTTTGAATGACATGACCACAGGATGGAGCTATATTAAGGGTTTTAAAGGAATGGTTCACCCAAAAATGAAAACTTGCTGAAAATGTACTCGCCCTCAGGCCAACCAAGATGTAGATGAGTTTATTTCTTCATCAGAACAGATTTGGAGAAATGTAGCATTACGTCACTTGCTCACCAATGGACCCTCTGCAAAACAGCTGATAAAAACATCACAATAATCCACAAGTAATCCACAGCACTCCAGTCCATCAGTTAACATCTTGTGAGGAGAAAAGCTGTGTTTTTAAGAAACAAATCCATCATAAAGACGTTTTTAACTTCAAACCGTGTTAAGTGTTTTTTAATCAAGTAAAAAACAAAGCATTTGATTCTTTTCAATATAACATAAAAAATGAATAAAACACACACAAAAATAAATTAAAAAAAGTGGCATGTATGGCTTTCATATTTTGTGAAATAAAAAAAAAGATTACATTTGTTTTGCTAGGAAAATTACTTTAAACAGCTATGCATAAACAGACCTTTCCAGATCAAGCACAAAAGCAACTTGGAAAATGAAATAATGTTTATTAGATTTCATGTACATTATAAATAAATAAACAATGCTTTTAAATGTTGTTGAACGCCTCATTTTGTCTCGGGCTGCACGCACCATAACTCAGAAATTTGGTCCAACACAAGTTTAATCTCTGAGCGATCAACACTTGTTCTTAAGACACAAACTGGTGTGTAGTTTAGATCCACGTGCAGTGGAAGGGATTTGCAGTCCTGGCAGTAGTTCAGCTCCAGTTGTAGCAGTGAATATTTGTTAGGTGTTATGATGACGAACACATACACAGATACAATAAACAGCTGTCCCCAATAATACAAATGTACAGAAATGACAATAATACTAGTACACTGTAATTTATACAGCTACAGTCGGTACATTGTACTGCACTTGAGGATTTGCTGGATTTGTAAGTACAAGAAGGCTGCACTTGTCTACAGCAGCTACTCTATATTACAATACCATACAAAACAAGTTAAGAGAGACATCTTGTATAACTTGAAACATGTAGAATACTTAATATGACATCTTTTTTTTTTTAGTATTTATACAAAGCACACATCAATAAGTTGTGTAACAAAACTGACTGTAATTTGCATATAGTCTGTGTACACTAGAGCTCAGTGTCATATCACATGATCTGATTCACTGTGATGAATGTGACCAGCTACATTACCTAAAATTAAATGCAAATTTAAACTTAAATGTAAAATCGATGGATCATCATGGGGTGTTCTGGACAGTCACTATGGTAGTATTTTGTGGTACATTGTTCTGGGTTGTTGCTAGGGTGCTGTTGGCAATTGCTAAGGCATTGCTATGTCTAGGTGGTTACTAAAGTGCGCCGAGTGGTTGCTATGGTGTTGTAGGTGGTCACTATGGTGTTGCTAGGTGGTTGCCATGACGATTCTAAGTGATTGATGGGGTCTGTGGCAGTTGCTAATGGAATGTTCAAGCAGAACACGTTTTTGCATTCAACGTGCTGTTTTTCCATTGCTTTTCTATGTAAACATGCGCGTGTAAAAACGTGGCGCTCAAGTTAAGCTTTTTTTAAAAATGCACTTGACCTTGTGTGTTTTCATTCCTCTGCCCTGTGTCTCACATCTTAGCATTCAACTGTGCTGCTTTTACAATGTTTGTTTTTTTTATGTAAGCATGCGCAAGACGGACGTTTTTTTGGCGGTTTCTTTTGCTGTGTCTAGTGATGACAGCGTTCGAAATATCAGCGCTAAATTCATCCATTTAAGAAAACTTCTATGAACCTTGCTTTTTTCTCTATTCCACCACACTGCGTCTCGCCTTTCTAAACGTAAAAAAAACGCCTCCTAACATGTTTTTGCATTCTACTGCACTGCTTTCATGTGATCCAACACATGCAAATTTATAACAAACTGCAATTGTGCATTATCGTTCATGCTGGAAGCTCAAATGTCGCCAAATTTGAATGGTTGCATTTTGTCTTCAAATCTTAAGCATGAACAATAGCAACAGGTTCTTGCTTATAGGGATAGTTCACCCAAAAATGAAAATTACTCCATGATTTACTCGCCTTCAAGGAGTATATGACTTTCTTCTTTAGACGAATCCAATCGGAGTTATATTAAAAAATGTCCTGGTTCTTCCAAGCTTTATAATGGCAGTGAATGGGTGTTAGTTTTCAATAGTCCAAAAAAAGTCCAATAAAGCGCATCCATCCAACGCACATACGACAGTTAGCGGAAGCTAGAGATTACTGTTTATAAAGTTTTAAATATGGATATTCTTCTTACAAAAACGCATCAATTTGCTCCAGGAGATCGTTATTCACCCCCCAGTGCCATGTGGGACACTTTTTATGATGGATGGATGTGCTTTATTGGACTTTTTTTGGACTATTGAAAAATAACACCCATTCACTGCCATTATAAAGCTTGGAAGAGCCAGGACATTATTTAATATAACTCCGATTGGATTCATCTCAAAGAAGAATGTCATAAACACCTAGGATGCCTTGAGGATGAGTAAATCATGGGGTAATTTTCATTTTTGGGTGAACTATCCCTTTAAGATCTGTTGAAGATAGCAGATGTTTTTGTTTTCCATATTTGTTTCCAGCACATGAATCTGGAAAATTCGATTCTCATCCTAGTGCATTCTGTCTGTCCAACTGACCATTTTGAACTGTATGCCAGTGGTGCGATGACAATTTTTGTCACGCACAACCAAGTGAATTTGTGGCAAGCATAAACCAGGCTTGGGATCATTCACAACGATTTTTTTTTTGCCTTCCACTACACTGCTCTGCCTTTTTGTAAAAATAAAACACTAGACGGACATGTTGGACCAATGCCTTTGCTTATCTGCAGTATCTTGCACATGACACTGTTCTAAAAATGTGGCATTAAAAGTTAACCTTGTCTACACCTCGTGTTGTTTTAATTAAACTTGCGTTTTAAATGCAAAAACGTGTGTGAATAGCCCCCTTAAGCATTCCTTCTCAATTTAATGAAAGCATGCATGTCATTCTCTGTGGTGATTAACTCAGAGCTAGCTACAGCAACATTTCAGTGGGTGGTCACATGAACAGATGTGAACATTTAACAGTGAATAAGGCATTACGCACATTTCTAGAGGTCCTGATGTAATAAGGCATTTCTACTGACCGCAGGACAGCTGGAATAAACTCACTGTATGTAAAGACACTCTGCTCTCATTTACTGCAATACAAACACATTAGGTCAAGGCCTGGGTCAGAATGGTTGAAATTCAGATGCTACCAGTGGCTTTATGTTACATTGCGGCTGGCACGCAGTACGCTATCCAGACCGCTGAGCTGACGTAGGAAACCGCGGTTTGGCGTGACGCCACGGTGGTCCTTCACAGTCTTGATAGCCTCCAATAAAGTCATGTTCTGCCGAATCATGAGGTAGGCCAGAACCAACGTAGCAGATCTGCTCAGCCCGACTACACAATGCACAAGAACCGTTCCTACAAAATAAAAGTCACCATGTCAAAATATGCACATGAATGACAAAAAAAGTCAAGTACAAAGAGTGACACAGCAAATACTAAAACATCCTCAAATTCATGTAAAATTTCCAACTTTTATTCAAAGCGTTATACTGATAATTTAATTGGTGATGAAAACCATACATTAGAAAAGACTGGAAAAAACAGAATTTTTACTTGTGGTCCTTGTGGATTTTGACCACATTCATTTGCACACTTATTTTTTATTTTTTTAAAGCACACTTAACCACTACATAAATATTTTTTTTAACTAATGAAGAATAAAATGTTACTCCTATAGAGTGCAACAAGTCGGGTTCCAGAAGTATAAACTCCATTCATTTTATCCATAGGGAAATTAATTTTTAATAGTTACTGATAATCCATTAAAGACTAAGCTATGAGGTTTTTAATCAATGGTATATGTTGTTGTAAAAGCTGTCTGTTTGGATTTATTCAAATTATTTTTAAAATAGCGGAATTTGTGGTGAAAAACTACATTACCCATGATACTGTACAGAAAATTCTATGAAGCACCACAAAAGAGTAATGGAGTCGGTCTCCCTACCATATCAAAATGTTTAAATATTTGTATATATACATATGCATATTTTGCAATAAACTTAAAATATATTGTTTCTATTGATACAATCAAAAAATTGACAAATAAATTCTTCTATATTTCACAATAGTTTTTAATTTGATTATGTAATTTGCAATGCTTCAAGAAACTGTCGTTCTTTCCTTCACTAAAGCCATTAAGTACAGTCTTGTACCTTTGTTGTTTTGTCCCATTTTCAAATACTTTTTTTGCTTCAAATAAAAGTTTGTAACGTTGCGATTCACCTCATGGCTAGTTGGTTTGGTTCATGACTGTTAACGCTTTAACAAACCCAACAGGAATTAAAAAAAAATCTTTATGGGAAAAATGAATGAAAAAAATACTTCCGTAACCAACGCCGCTGAAAAAGTGGGCTGGCACTAATGCACTCTATGGCATCATCAGGCTGTAAAACTGTTTTGCTTTTGATTTCAATAAGACTGAGAAACTTCAGGTTGAAAGAAAAAGGCCGCTTATCAACTGACCTCCAGTACTAAGGGCTCTGTGAATGAACTCAGCCGCTGGGTAGAAGTTGACACTCATGTCGAAGGAGGGCGAGTCGTGGGCTTCAATGCCGTGATACGTGATGTTCATGCCAGCGTAACACTCTGCACCACCTCTCCATTTGCTCTGAGCACAGTTGAGGATGTGCGTGATCCCAAGCTTGACGAGTTCTTTGCGGTTTGAGGCAATTTCTCTGCAAATTTAAGTGAAAAATTTGTACATAGTACAAAATTTACTGGCAATTTCTAGTTTACTCATCTATACAGGACAAAAGTTCACTCTTTTACTGCTATGTCATGCTTTGTTACATGCATTATACAAAGCAAGGCATTTTATGATCCATGAAGACCATTATATCTTTTTTTGTTTGAAAAATTCAATACTACTATTTTGTATGAGCCTCTAAAGCATAATCTCACGTTCAACATCCTGTATATGGCCAAAACAGATATTCATGGACTACTCACTGGTCACCTATGTAGAGTCTTGGCCACACTTCATCTGCATGATTACAGGCGGTTTTCCCAGTGTACAACAGACGCTCTAGTTCAGCAACAGTTAGTACAGGACAGCCTTTCTCTGAGTCCTTTCTGCTGGGAGATCTGGAATTACTCCGTGACCGGGACAGTCTGGACATGAAAGCCATCTGGACTGGCCTTCAGTGGAGCTATAAAATAACACTGAAAATATATACAAAATAAAAGTAACAGTTTTAAATGCTAAAAGCATTTTTAAATACAAATTAAAGGGACAGTTCACCCCAAAATGAAACATTTTTCAGGTTAAACAAATAAACATTACTTATACTATCAAGAAAACAACAACAACCAATACAATTCCATTTTATATATTTACATTATCATTACTACATTACATTTCTATGAATTAAAACAAAGTACATTTCTCATAAGGTTAGTGCTTTTTGAGCATTTTTACATTTATTCCAAATTAACTGCACAAAGTCGTATGCGATCATTCTATGATAGTTTTGCCTCTTATTTTAAGGCTTCAAGTTGGTCACCGTTATACCATTATAGAGGAGTGCTAACAGTTTTTTTTTTTTTTTAGATTTCTCCTTTTGTATTCTGAAAAAGAAATGTCATATGACATTAGAACAACACCAGGGTGAGTAAATAAATGTAATTAATCTATTTAAAATAAATCATTGGTAACACTTTAGTATAGGGACCAATTCTCACTATTAACTAGTTGCTTATTAGCATGCCTATTATTAACATATTGGCTTTTTATTAGTACTTCTAAAGTACATTCTGCATGACCATATTCTACATCCCTAATCCTACCCAATACCTAAACTTAACAACTACCTTACTAACTATTAATAAGCAGCAAATTAGGAGTTTATTGAGGCAAAAGTCATAGTTAATGGTTTGTTAATAGAAGAGAATTGGACTTTAAAATAAAGTGTGACCAAATCATTTATCTTCTTTATGCACCAAGAGCTTGTAACACTCCAAAGAGAAAGGAAAAATTGAAATCGCATCATATGACCCCTTTAACTAAATAAATAATTTTTAAAGAAATGTAGTAACATTAACTTCACTTAATAGGACTAAACTTTAAAAAAATATATTAAATATTTAGACCTAATTTCTCTCTAAATTACACCATTAATTTTCATATAAAATAAACACATTTATTACTTTTACTGCAGTAAAACCATAGGCTTCATTCTGTAAAATCAGATAAATATCATGTATGGTTTTTTGAACATCTGCTGTCATGACAATGACATGAAATGACAATTATAACCAGTAGGTGGCGTTAGTGATCCTCATTTTGGTCAATTATCTCAGTAACCCAATGCTCTATCAAAGTTAATTTCTAGATAGAAGTTATGATTTTGGATATATACTTAGAATATACTTGCCTAGAAAAACAAATATTTGTCAAAGATTGTCATCTTTAAATCCACGTTTTGAAGTGTCTCTTTTTGCAGTGATGCCACATTATGCTTACAAAGAGTGTTACAATGAAAAGATGGTATGCATTATTTTGCAGCTTATAATTTATTTAAAACATCAATATTTAGTAACTCTAATGCAGTAAACAAATAAAAAAAGTCAACAAAACAAGGGGCAATAATCAGATTACACATTTTGCAATGGTAAACAAGAAAACAGCAAAAAAATAATTGGTCATAAATCCAAGTAACAAACAGTACATAAGCGGTGACTAAGCCTTGTTTAAACCTTCTTTCTGCATGCTTGGCAGTAAGTAATCATAACAGCGTGTGACCCGCAAATGTGCATGTTACACTCGATACACATCAAACTGGTTTTTATGTCCTTCTTTCGGTCACAGACCTGACACCTTTTCCTCTTGCCTGGGGTTACTGGTGCGAGATGAGTGGCTTTGACTGGTGAAGAACTTGCTTGAGCTTCCATCACCATATTCTGAGAGGCTGGAGTGCGGGGAATTTTCTCCCGTCTTTTCATGAGGGGAGCCACCAGAGCTCCCTAGTTCTTCCAAAAAGAGCCTCCTCCTATATTTCTTCCCTTTGTTCCATGAATGATTTATTTCCATCCACAGCACAAATGCATTGTAGGCAGAGACGTCCAACATGTTGAAAAAAATCACCATGGGCCAACGTGACGTCTTCCTTTGGCAGGTGTAAGAGGCAACAAGCTGGAAACAAAATGACACATACACAAAATCACCAAAGCTTTATCTTATCAGCTGACAATTCATTCACTTTATACGAGTCATTTGGCCTTGAATAAAAACAAATAAATACAGAGGATATAGAAAAGAGTCACCCCCATTTAAAATTATCACATTTTGTTGCTTTGCAGCCTGAAATGAAGACGGACACTTTTTTGTTTTTGTTTTATCCAGCTGTATTTACTCAGTCCAACTTAGAACATCCAAGTGAAAGATCATAAAACCAACATGTCAGAAAACAAAAAAAAAACAGAATCACTGAGTTGAATCACCAGAATCAGGACATCTCTCCAAACCGGATGAAAGGGCCGGAGGAAACTGGTCAGAGAGACGACCAAGAGACCGACAGCAACTCTGAAGCAGCTGCAGGAATTTATGAGTGGACATTGTGTGCATGTGACCACAATATCACAGATTCTCCACAAATGTGGCTTGTATGGGAGGACTGCAAGAAAAAAGCCACTCCTCAAGAAAGGCCACATGCAGTCACGATTGAGCTTCGCCAAAACGCACCTTGAAGATGAGACTAAAATTGAATTATTTGGCCTCAACACCAAACGATATGTCTGGCAGAAATCCAATACAGCTCACCATCCAAATAACATAATTCCTGCAGTAAAGCATGGAGGTGGTAATATCCTGTTATGGGGTGTTTCTTTTCAGCAGGGACTGGAGCACTTGTCAGGATAGAAGGAAAAATGGATGGGGCAAAATACCGTCAAATTCTTGAGGGAAAATCTGCTGCCCTCTGCCAGAAAGTTGTCAATGGGAAGAAGCTCTACCTTCCAACATGACGATGACCCAAAGCACACAGCAAAACTGAGCACACAGTGGTTGAAGGAGAAAAAGGTGAATGTCCTTGCATGGCCTAGTCAGCAGAGGTGGAAAGTAACGAATTACATTTACTCGCGTTACTGTAATTGAGTAGCTTTTATGTGTACTTCTACTTTTTAAAGTCATTTTTTTAATCTGTAATTTAACTTTTACTTAAGTATATTTTGTTTGAAGTATTGTACTTCGCTACATTTTAAAACACATTAATTACGGAGTAAAAAAAAAATCGCTCCCTGGAAACTACTGTAGTAAATAATGGGCAGGAGTGCAAACTGGCGCTAAAATCACAAGAAAGATGCAGATGGACAAGACAGGCATTTTGGTGCAGACCCAGCTGAAAATGAAACCCTGTCGTATTCTGCTGAAGTTGAACTCGAAGGAAATTAAGTGAACCTCTGGCCATATTTAAGCTCTATAATACAGTGTAAGCTGTGTTTGCCTAGGGAGACCAAACTAGCATTTTATACAATCTCGACATCAACCCTTCGCAAGCATGTAGAGGTATGCTAGATACTTGCATCGTTGCATTGGTGGTTAAAATGAAGCTTTGACAGTTTAGCAAGAGGTTTTGCACAAATTAGCCAAAAAGACAGTGGTGCGGAGTGTGTGATATATATCGTCTGCGACAGTCGTCTCACAGAGTTTGAGCGCAGCTTTTTGGTCCGACGCTGCCAACGCGAGGCGACAACACCATTGGCTTTCGTCGCCGCTAGTTCTTTGAAGTCGGCTTGGTGTGCCCGGCCTTTAGTAGAGACAAAACCCAACAGACTAAAGGCTGTAATTAAAGCAAGAGGTGGTTCATCAAAATACTGACACAAAGGGGTGATCCTTTTTCCAAATCAGTGATTCTGTTTTTAAATACAAATAAAAACAATTTCTGACAGGTTGGTGTTATGATCTTTCACTTGGATGTTATCAGTTACACTGAGTAAATACAGCTGGATAACACAAAAACTGTGTCCGTCTTCATTTAAGGCTGCAACGCAACAAAATGTGATTATTTAAAGGGGGGTGATTTTTTTCTATAACCACTGTAATGCAAAGTAGTAAAATACCTTGTCAAGGTTGTCAACTCCGCCTTTGGTCTGGTTGTAGTCTAGGATTATCTCTGGCTTCTTGTGATCTTTGTCGCTTACTTTGGCATCTCTGTGGAAAGTGCTCATCAACAGCACATTTTTATTTTTTCTGGGACAGTAGGACACAAGAGTGTGCGTATCAGTGAAGGCGAACATGGATGATAATCGGGCCCTGTCCTTCATTGACAGGAGTGCAGGTGGGAGCTCAGGTTTGTTTGATCCGACTGTTCCGATCATGGTCATTTTCCTTCGGAGCAGCTCCTCGCCGAGGCCATACGAGGTGAAAAAGTTGTCACACGTGACGGTGTGTCCCTCTAAACCGTCTGTCATGTCCAGGACCACTCGCATTCCCTGGGTCTTTTCTGACTTGCCGTCGGCAGCTTTCCCAGTGTAGATCTGCATGTTCCACGCATAGCTCGAGCTGGAATCGCATGCTGCCCAGATTTTAATGCCATACTTGCCCGGTTTACTTGGCATGTATTGTTTGAAGGGACGGTGTCCTCTGAAACGGACCAGGCACTCGTCCACAGTGACGTTTGGGCCTGGATTGTACAAGAGTGGCAGGCGTTCGACCCATTTATCCCAGATGTTCCTTACTGGTGCCAGCTTGTCCCTTTTCTGTCGGCTAGGCTCTTTGTCCCTTTTGTAAAAGCAGAAGACCCTTGACAAACTGGTAAAACTTTTCAGTGACATGGTAGCACGAAAAATTGGCCTTCCCGACTCAGCGTGCCATAAGTTACTCATGGGCTCATGGTGGGATCGATACACGCCTGCCAGAATCAACAAACCAAAAAAGGCCTGTAAGTCTGTCCAGTCCAGGTCCTTCCAGGTATCACGAAATACACGTTTCCCCTCTAAATTGGTAATTTCAATCAAAATCTGTTTAATATCATCTGGGAAAAACAATTCAAATGTTGATCTTATGTCTTCAGCATTGGCACATGCCAGCCTGGTTGGTCCAGGGGTCATTTTGATGATACGATGAGCTGGTAATCTCTCTCGTTGCTGGAGTCCACAATATGTTTCGGTTTTTGGACTGATAAGCCGCCTCTGTGTCAGCAGTGACCTCTGACTCTTCCTCTGAA